AGGGTAACATTCTAGAAAATTTTTTTCCCATCTCCCAAAAAAAATAGTTGGCGCATAATACATGTAAATTGACCATTTTTCTGTATCAATTTTTCACCATTTAATACGTTCTGTTAGGAAAACAAAGTATACCACAAGATGCAGCGTGAAAAGCTCTACAATCTACACAGCATAGTGCATTCTAAATGTGTAATTTTTGTTGTCAAAAAAAGCGAAACTATGTACGATTAATTTTTTGCCATTGCAAAAAACTGATCGCGCAAAGTTTCGCTGTTTTTGACAACAAAAATTACACATTTAGAATGCACTTTGCTGTGTAGATTGTAGAGCTTTTCACGCTGCATCTTGTGATGTATTCTGCTTTTTCTTAAAAAAATGTATTTGATGACGAAGAGGTGGAAAGAAAACGTACTTTTCGTTCGTATAGAAAAAAACGACTTTTTTTACAACGGTGAAAATTGACTGCATAGAGTTTTGATTCTTTTAAAACAAAAATTATATAATTAAAATACGCTTTACTGTTTAGATTGTACAGCTTTTCACGCTGCATGTTGTGGTATATTTTGTTTTCCTAATAGAACGTATTAAATGGTGGAAAAGTACAATACAAAAGTGGCCCATCGCCAACCATATTTTGGGAGATGGGAAAAAATTTTTTTAGAATGTTACCCTATGTATCTCTGTTATAATAAGGGATAGAAACATGAAACTTTGGGGTAACGTTCGCCTACTTACAAGGGATAAGACACCAAAGTTTGAGCACGTTTGGGTTTACTATAAGGAAGAACGAACAATTTTTCTGAGAACGACCAAGACTTTTGGCTCACCCTTTATTCCTCAAGTTCTAAATACATAGTTCATTTTCTGTAACGTGGTCGTTGCAGTAAATCCACTCATATCCCTCAACTTTGAAAGATGCTCAGTAGATGCTGATGATGATAATGGATTTGATACGCGAGGTGTGTAATAGCGTAATGGCTTAGGAAAGATATGGATACGGACTGTAACAGGATTATGACATCACTCTTTCGTATCGGTTGATTAAGTACTTAATTATAATTAATTCATCTTTGAAGTCATCCAATTTATTATAAATCGAAGAGAAGAATAGTAAGACTTATAATTCAAATGTAATCATATGTCGAGAGTGCCTCTTAGTGGAATGATTTAGACAAATTGATGCGATATATGATTGATCATGTCATTTTCTTTTCTATGTCCAAAATACAATGTTAATGAAAGCGACAATTAAAAGAATGTTTACTTAAACCAGATATCATTACGTGAGAAGTAGCATCTAGTTCTGAAACATAGAGCAGAACGAATAGTTCATATTTCGCAACCGGTATTTACTTACTCGTACACTGTACCGCTATACTTCTGCACACCTCGTAATCATACAGATATGCATTTTCAATTGAATTAGACAAAAAATAAAGTTTTAGTTGATTGAATCTATCTGTAGACATCTGTCCCGTAGAAAATCAGATTAACAGAGAAAAAGATTATGTGAAAATACATTTTTGTTTTTTCATTCGACTGATGTTGTGTTTTTTTTTCGACAATAATTAACATGTCGAATCTTTGATTTGATAGAGAGATGGTGTCGGTTACGTGTCATAAAACTCGAACCGATCCGAAGCCGAAAGAAAGTTAAAGAAGGCCAAATCGAACCCGAACCGACGTTTTTCAAAAAAGCTAAAATCGTATCGGAAAGGAATATTTTTGAATTTCTTCTGTAATAACAAAGTCTACGTGATTTGTATTGTAACTTATTCATCTTATTTCAAACGATTGTCATTCGTAATCCTGCCACTGTGACAGAAGACTCTGTATCAGAGGATTTCCACAATCGATGGTTTCTAAAGGAGTGATACCTTTGATATAATAGAAGACTGTCCTTATTTATTTAGTTAATAAGAATCTATAGCGTCGATGAACATATTTAATTGAAAATATGTCCAGTTTTTAGCATCCTGTACCAAAAATCAATGAAGTCTAAAGTTCAAATGATGCAGCATCTCTTTAATCCCGAAAAACCCTTTCTGATCCTGCAAAGTGTCGTGAATTTTTGGAAAATATTTGAATTATTACTGGCTCTGCAAGAGAAGCCTAGTATAAGATTATTCATAACATTTATCTAGCGCGATACAATAAACATCTGCTGATTGTCTATTATAAAGGGAGGTTTATTATATATGTATGTCAAATCACGAGTTTTTAGTTGTTGGTATTTATTTATACATCTTAATAAGACAGATGTACTCGTATTGCATTGAACTTCATTTCATAGCTGATTATGTGAATACTTTTTCAACACTGAAGGATATACCTGGTTCGTTCGTGTTTTGTTTTTAGTGAGATGAAGAAAGACAAGAATGTATATAAATACTTTCATTGCTGTTTATGAAAACATTTTGTTTACTCTTCATGCTTTGCATGCTCGGATACTGATCTAAACTAGAACAAGTTGGTACAAAACTAAACTGAAACCGATGACTGTCAAGAGTTGCAGATCGAGTAATCGTCTCTGATTTTTAGCAGACAATTTAAAGAAGGCGAGTTTTTGAGCAAGAAATGACTTTTAAATTCAGTTCGATAGGAAAAGAAATCACTGATTTTCAAACGTATGCAAGAATAAAATGATAAGAACGATGAAGATAGAATCCGAAATTGCAAGATTTGACTTCTCTTTGCAATTCATTTATATAATTTTTATATTTTATTATAAAGCATAACCAGATTCTGCATATTTAGAATTTGCACAAGCGGAACAAAGATTCACAAATGAACAACTTGAATATTTACGTCACTGTAAGTATATTTGTTCTATTGCCATCATTTCTGATATTGAATTAAATTAACTAGATTATACAATAAACAAATATGCTCAACTCGATGATCTTGAAGCAATTGCCAACCAATGGAATATTTATGATTTTCATTTTTACATGAGTTTACATGTTAGTAACTTACATCTTCTCTCGAATCTACACGGTATTCAAATTTCTTGATTACTTTCAGGATTGGTTTGTTAGTCGACGGATGGCTGAACGAGAAATTGAAGAACGACGGTATCAGGGGCGAATAGCAGCAGCTTAGTCGATATCTAAATCTGTTTGATTGAGATTTTATGTCTTGTTATTATTCATTGATTGAAATGAAAGTTCTTTCTTTCTATTTGATTTTTGTAAAATGTTAAGAAAATAGATACTTGTTTGTTATTAATATCCTACTCTACGTGTCTTATACAACAACGAATTAAGATATAAAACAAGTCGAATGTTGATTATTCTTAATTAGGAAGATCAACATGCGATTAACTCAATTAGATTTCTTTTACATAAAAAATTCGTACTGACTTCATCGACGTCTCTTAGGTCATTAAAACACTGAAGAAAAAAATTGAGAGATGAAAAATGATAGACAATATTGTTTAGTTGATAGGTATAATCGATCATCTTATTTACCACGAAGATTTTCTATTAATTATTGAAGTTTGGTTCGAAAAAGATACGAATTGATTGTATTTATAGAAAAGAAAACTAGTGTAATGTACTGTTCGCATGTTCAAATATTCATGGAACCACGGAGTTTAATTCACATAATTACTCCATTTCACTTTGTAAAAGTAAAATAAAGATAAAAGTCGTACGAATAACTAAAATGCGTGAATGGTAACCAATACATTTGTTTGATTATTTGCTCATCAAGATTAAAACACACATAGCAAATAAAGCAATTTAGATTTCCATGAATACATGTTTCCATAACAAGCTTCAAGTTTCAAGCTATTTCTCCGGAATAAACTCATGGAAAATAGGTCAATGCTGAATTAAACAATTTCGAAGTACAAAACAGAACTTTTGAATTATTTTGACAGTAACGATGTGTTAATATATACATAAAATATTGTTGAATAAATAATTTATTCTCATTGTATTTGTAAATCGTTGTTTATAAAGGAAAAAAGGATAGAGGAGTTTCATTGAATAAGGTCGTTTTACTTGAAGAGAATGAAAGAGTATTTACTTTTGTTTCATTGTCACGTGGCACATTAATGTAACAGCAGCATTATGCATATTTTGTTGTATAAGTTTGAGCTCATAAGATATTTCAGTTTACATAATACCAATCGATAAAGCTTTCTATGATATTTATTCAGATAAGTTTTGTTAATAATTATATCAACATGTGTATGTGAAAAGACTGAAAATAAATCGAAGAGAATCTTTTTTTGTATTTTTCAGAGAACAGTATTTTGTTTCGTTTTCCACCATCCTAAGATAAATTATTTGAACATTGTATTAGATAATATGTAGGAAAATAGCTACAATTTGCAGTTTTGTTGATTTATTTATTCACTTTCTATGAGATTTACATAAAAAGGATTCAAATCTTCGCTTGAATCAGTGTCCTATATGTAACGATCAATAAAGGCCCTGACTGGGTTGATACGTAATGACAAACTGGATAGAGGTGGAGTAGCTTACCGCCACTCTCGGCAATGATGTTTATTAGCTACTTTACATATCCAGAGTGTATCCATTGCATATTCAACACACACTTATATATGATAGAAAAACAGAGAGAGACAACGATAGAGAGAGAAAGCGGAAAGAGGAAAGAGGAAAGAGAAAAGAGGAAGAGCAGCGAGCCGTAACGCATGTATCGGCACACTATATATTTCCTATATAGGAATAGGGAATCCTATATAAATACTATCTTAGATTCCTATATATTCCTATATTTTCAAAAAGTGCCGCTACGAGACCAGCAGTGTTATACTGAAACATATTGAATTGTCGTCTCTGTTAAGGATATTTTATTATCAAAGTAATAAATCTAGATTTTTTTTATTAAAAGTCTAGATTTTATATGACAAACATATATTCTTCTTTTATTTTATGAACTTTTTTTTATCCTAATTGAGATAACAAAAATAAATTTACGAATAAAAATGATCCCAAAAGGCATGAGTAAAAAAAGATCGTTCAATGGAAACGACGAAAAGAACATGGCCTATAAACGACTATCAATCGCCACTGGTATTTCCATCACCAACACCGGCATATTCAGCACCACCACCGGCATTTCCAGCACCATCACCGGCATTTTTTGTTTGAAGTTTTCTGATTTCTTGTTCATCGTATTCCAATAAATTACGTTTAGACATTAAGAGTGCGATTTCCGTTCTAATAGTTTGTATAACCAAGTAATTTCGTTGAATATCATGGTTTTGTTGCTGTTCTTGTTGTTGTTGTACTTGTGGTGTTAACATTTCGTTTAATTTGCCTTTACATACTACAAGACGATTATTAATATCACCAACCTAAAAATCGAAACAACTGATTTATAAAAGAAAATAGTATTTTATTTATAATACTTCTTGTAGGATACGTTGAATAACATCCATCTAATACTGTTACAGTTTTATACTAAAAATAAATTCGTTTTTTTAAAACTTTAATTAAATAAGTGATAGTAAAAGGCCGAAAATCAAAACGAAAACCAAAAAGACGGATTGATTATCGATGATAACCAATCCGTTCTTTTGGTTTTCGTTTTGACTTTCGGAGTTTTATTATCTCTATAAATTTTATTTTGACTTTTTTTTTCAAATAAAAAATAAATAAAAGATTCGATAAAGAGTCCATTAATTTAAAAGAATTTTTTCGTTAGAGTATAAAAGATGGCACTAACTACCACGAATCAATCAAACTGTGTCAAACAGAATCTTTTGATTTCTTCGAAATTCAATAAACGATAAATATCTTTTTTTAACTTTATAATAAAAATACATTGAACAATTGAAAGAAAGGAATATGCAAAACAAACATGCAGTTATTGACGAATTGTTAAGAAGCAATACTGGTATTCATAGGCAATTAAATCATTTTATCGCAATATAAAAGTAACAAATGTACATTTACGATAAAAATATTTTCTTTTTATTATACTTTATTTCGTTATTTAAAGCAACAACTAGAAGCAGTAATTTGATCTTTTCAGTAGAATGTCGAATGTCTTATTTGATGTTAGGTAGATGTTCTACGATAATCAGCACTACAACAACGATAGCAATCACAATTAATCTCTTTTGTTTTATTTTGAAATATATTTGTAAAAGGCACTTTGCGTATATGTTTGCAACCAGAATATCATTATCTGATTCTCCAAGTTTTGGTCATATGATAATAATACTCTCAACAGTTTATCAATCTTCAATGAATTGCTATTAATTCTCCAACGTATCGAACTCCTAGAATATATGTTTATGGTTGTGCCTTATCAGGTAATCGAACAAATAGTGAATATGTTAGTGCAGGGCTGCCATCTGTACCCCATTTCGGGGTACAGTACCCCATTTTAACGTTTTGTACCTCAAAAAGAGTTGTACCTCAGAGGTACAAAATGTGTACCCCATTTAGACAATTTCCTTTTGCATAAGATTAAAATCATATTTTGTTAAAATCGATAAACTTATTGACTGTAGTTGACGTGTTCATTTGTATAGTAGAGATACGAAGAGTCAATTACATTGGCTGATTCATGACCAATACAGGACATTGTCATTCTTAGCATTTGTGTTTCCTTCTCTTTTGCAATTTTAATCTCACGATCGAAATTAAATCGTGTTTCTAATCGATTATAGTTTTCTATTAAAAGAATTCATATATATTTATTGCAAAATACCGAGGAATTATTGTAGATTTTAGTTATGCAGCAAATGAACAACGATAATTCTATTGTACTAGATATTGAAGTCATTGAGGAAGAGAATGATTCCATGACACTCGAATTCGAAAAAACAATAACACCAAAAGAAACATCAAGTTCTATGTCTAGATTATCTTTCAATATAGAAAGAAAGTCATTGAATTCTTCATCAAAATCAAAAAGATATTGCAAGTTCAACAAAGAATGGATTAAAATTTCGAAATATGTATCATTTTTACAAGAGTGTCGAACAGATTCATCACTTGCACATTGTTCTGTGTGTAAATCGAATTTTTCAATTGCTAATGGTGGGAAGTATTTGATCGATCGTCATCTTGAACAAGCGAATCACAAGCGTCTAGTAGCAGCAGAAGCTAAACACAAATGTAATTTAGTTTGTTCATTAATTCAAAAGAATACTGATTATGTTGATCTATTGTCTTTTAGCACATTCAATGTTTGATTTTATTCCTCACTCGACTGAATTGACAAAGTTGGTTGCTGCTGAAATCACATTAGTTTATCACGGAATACGTCATGGACATAGCTATTTGAGTCAGGCATGCACTGCTGATGTCTCGAAGAAATTGTTTCAAGATTCAACTGTTGGAAAAAATCTCACATGTGGACGAACTAAAGCTTGTGAAATTGCTGCTAATGTTTTAGGTGAATAATAATTCTTTTCTAAAACAGAAGTATACTGACCAATTAGAGAAGAAGGGTAAAGATCGTTAGACGAATATTTCTTATTTTTTTACGATCTTTTTTTAGCTCCATTTATGATTTCTCAAATTACAGAAATGATTAATAAATCCGGTTTTTATTCTTTATCATTCGATGCATCTAACAAAGGTCACAAGAAAATGTTTCCATTCGTTGTAAATTACTTCACAGTTCGTGGTATCGAACGATCAATGATCGAAGTAATTGAACTAGTCAATGAAACAGCTGATCATATTGTTGCTTCACGTCGAGAAGTATTGCAAATGAATAATATTGATATTCAGAATATGACATCAATTGGTGCTGATAATACAAACGTTAATTACGGACGAATTCATTCTGTTTTTTCTTTGTTGAAATCTGATATTCCACATCTAAAGAAAGGTGTTTTGTTATTGAAGAAAAATACACATGTCCCTAATAATAATGTTTTCTTCTAGGAAATTTTTTTTCACATGTCCTAAATAATGCAGTTAAAACTTCACATATACACTTGGTCATTGATGTTGAATCAATTTTGTCAAAACTCTACGGTCACTTTTCTTCATCAACAAAACGAGTAGAAACTCTCAAAGAGTACTTTGATTTTGTCGAGCAAGATCATTTAGTAAAGCATATATCATATTATTAATAGTCATCAACGTTTTTTATATTCAGTTATTATTGAAACACATCAATATTCGTTGGCTTAGCCTATATCCGTCTATTGAACGATTACTCAAAGTCTTTGATCCATTATCTGCTTATTTTTTGGATTTGGGTGACGAAGATGCTTTTCCATGTCCACCAATAATTTCAATGTTTTTTACTTCTACTGAAGCCAAATGTACAATGTATTTTTTGCACAATGTTTTGTTTGATTTACAGAAAAAGAGCTTGGAATTGCAACGATACTACGTTTCTATTGTTGATTTGAGTAGAATCATCACTAGTCTTCTTAGCAAACTTAACGACCGATTGAAACAAAATTATTTTGGTTATCAAACGAAAATTCTATTGAATTCATTGCTCGATTCAGATCGAAAAAAACTGAATCAATCATTTATCGATTATGTGTCTAGTGTAATTAAATATATTGAGAAATATTATGATGAACAATCCGAATTGGCTGAATTAACTGCAGTTTTTGGTATGTTTTATTGTGATAATTAGATAAGAGAACAGCTTCATTTTTCTAGGCATACGTGAAATCGATCAAATAAAATTTCATCAAATTGAAGAATGTGTCGTTTTTCTCAAGTTGGAAGTTGATCATGATAAATTATTCGATGAATTGAATATTTTACAATCCACATTCAAAGAAGTCAATTCATATCGTGAACCATTGAGTGATCAAATTCGAAAATATATCGGTGATGATGCTCATAATTTCAGTGGAGATATAATCAATGATCAAAATAATGAATCACAGGATGAAGAAGATCTTTTTCATAAACCAACAATTGAAATTCATGAAAAAGAAAATCAGATTCGATCTGATCAACTGTGGGCATATCTGCTCACAGAATCAACAACTTTATGCAGCGTAATGACGAAAGTTCTTGCCTATGTTTATTCGATTCCTTGTTCAAATGCATTTGCTGAAGGTGTCTTCAGTCATATGAAGCACGCATGGACACCAAGTCGAAACTCGATGTCAACTGAAACAATTGCTACTGAATTAAAGATAAGATTAAATAGCAAGATAAAATGTGAAGATTTTTATTCTTTTGCACAATCTCAACCAGAATTGATTAAATCTGCTAAAAGCAAGCAGAAATACAGTTATGTAAAAAAACGTGTATTAGCTAATGCAAACAGAGAAGATTTACTTTAAGTGAATATTTTTTATTGTTTTTTGAACAGATATATGTCGAAAGAAAAAATGTATTTGTGAACTACTTGTTTCGAAATAAATATTAGAATTTAAATACTATTTTCAAAGCCGAGACAAAATTGGAAACAATCTTTTTACGCTAAAAATACTTTTCAAAATCGATTTCTCATTGACACTGCTTGTTATTCAATAGAAAATTGTGTACCCCATGGACGCACCCCATTTAGAACAGTATTGTACCTCACATGTACCCCATTCTAAACCTGCACAGATGGCAGCCCTGGCTGTCGGCGACGAGGGTATATTGGTGCTATTAAACGATGTATAAACGTAAATTTGTGATGAATACCAAGTAGAATAGTCAAGTGAATAAGTTGAAACGAGAATTGCTGCTTGAGAATTTGTTAGCCAAGCCACACTTTTACCATAACCAACATATTGACCATTGTTGATGGAATCAGCTAAGGTTATATTATGGCCATTGCTACTGATGACAAACAAAAAAACTGTATTCAGAAATAGCATACCAACAAGAACACGAGTCGAATCAGCCAAATTTATTTTCACTGACATCATATATTTCTTAGTCCATGTATCACTACCAGAATAGGTCAAGCGTGATTGTCAAGAGCCGTTAAGACTAGTATAGAACCATGAAACTAATACGGTGAGATTACTGTTATCTAATACATAGACAGTAGGTGTTGCGCGTACTCGAGCGTTAGGGGCATTCTGTACGAAACCAGCTACAATTGTAAATGATTCACTTGCATCAGCTGCAAGTGGTTCAAATGTTGCATTATTCGGCCAAACAGGTGTACTTCTCTTGAGAGTAATATTAGCATAAGAAAAAGGCTGATAGAAAAAAATAAAATCCATAGCCAGACCAATGGCATATAGACCGTAAGATTCGACAGCCAATACAAAAAATTCTTGATGATCATATGTTGAAATAAATTGAAGACTTTCGACAGCAAAGCTATCACAGGATAAAGCCTGTTGATTAGTAATATAAGTTTGTATGCTTTGTGCATCTTGATTGATCCACACACCAATAAATGTACCATTATTACCTGCTGAATCGGTACTCGAATATCCTTGAGCAACTACTTCACCAGTAAAATAAAAGTATGGCTTTACAGTTGTGTTTTGTTTCAGTCCTACATTCACCGAAAAGACATAATGAGCAGGATCATCATAATCAATTGAACACTGTAATGTATTTTGTGTGTAATTGTATGGAGAGAATCGAACTAAAAATATTTGAGATTCACTTTGCGCTTCGACCAAAAGAATATTATTGGCAGCTATTTTTACACCATAAGCATCAAAATCAGTTGTATCAGGACTGAAATCACCGTGAATTGTATGAATGTCAAGGACAAGAAAGATTAATATGAGCCACATGATTAAAGTTTCATAATCAATTAAAATGAATGCCTTATATATATATTGCAGGGAACCTCTTTGTTAAATCAACATTTGTTCGATAAAAACTAAATGATTATTTACAAAAATAATTGAATCCATTTGATTTAATTTCGGTTCTATACAATCGCACAAAACAATACTAACAAACATAGTTTCGAGCGCAATGACCTAAATCAATCACCTTTTAAATTAAATAATATCAATGGTCAGCACTTTTACGGGGAACACATTTCCGATTTTATTCCATTAGTAATGTTCGATTAAATGTTTATCGCTTTAATAGTGCATTATGGCAATATATAGGTGAAAGATGACGATTACACTATTATTATGTGTTAGGTTTATTCACTGTTCTTCAGTTCCAATTCATGTAAGATGAAGGACAATTCGGTATTTTACTTGCAATGAATTATGTTCTTTTGAGACAAAAATGACTAATAGAATATTATTAGAGAAAAACGGCACATTTAACAATGAAGAATATACTTTTTCTTGATTTTAATCTTGAATTTTTTAAAAGTATTATATATTAACAAAAAAAAAGGACTAGCAGCAAGAATAAATTTAACTGATGATTGCTAAACTGAAACAATGATTCAAAGTAGATTAAATATTGCCAAGAATCAAATAGGTAAAATAATAGCAGCTTCTGAGCAACTATAATGTAAAAGATGAATGAAAAAGATCTGATAAATGTAATATGATTTTCCTAAGTGGTAATTTTTCAAGCAACAACTATAAGATATAATCTAAATAATCAGATCTAAATTGCACGTAGCCAGTAACCGATTGAAATAAATATTCTTTTTATTTTCATTGATTTTACATAGCAATTAAGATAAGTGAACACATACAATTTTTAACGATGATTAATGAAAGTATGAATTTAATATGGCTCATAAATAGATAGTAATACTTTGCTTCAGAATAGAAGAATCTTGTAAAGAATATTACATTTATTTGAAACAAATTTCAAAAATTCTTCTTCCAGAAAAATATATTTCATATCATTTCAAACAATATTTAGAGGCTATGACGCTGTTGACTTTTCGGTATTCATTTGAAAACTTTATAATAATTGTCTAAAATCAGTCCATAGTTTAGTGCATTGACAATTAGAAGAAATGAATATTTGAACAAAAACTATTAAATACTTGTATATTCGAATTAAAATTGAACTGAATCTGTTTTGCATAATCCAGCTTCAAGTAAAGTTAATGAATTAGATTTACCCATTTTATTTGGAAGACATTCTTGTAGAAAACTGATCTTCAAAAGCAATATCTTACATTCACACTTCAAAGAAATATACAAATGATAAAAAGCCTACAATCAGAATCAGTCAACTTTTATGTTGAAAAAATGCATTTATTTTTATTATTCTCTCATTTTTGATCTTGTAAACAGTACAAAAAGTTTCTTGATAGTCAACTATTCTATAGCTTGCCATTAAACCAAAGACTGAATGATTGTTCATGTTGAAGTGTAAATGATATTTTAGTGCAATTAAAGACAGTATTTATCTAAGAATGAACGTTTCATATGATTGCCGTAAAAAGTGTTCATTGAAGAAAGAATGTCACTGTATGATTTATTGAAATAAAAGAGTAAAAGCACAATAAGACAATTACAAGTATATCAACGGCGATTAAAATGACCATAGATAAAGTATTGGGTCCAAGATACCTATGGACTGGAAAAGTCTCAGAAAGGTATCCGATGCGGATACTTTGTAAATTCTCAGTAATTATACTGACTTAGAAACTTTCTTAAATACTCGTACCATTGTGCTTAGTGAGCGAGTACTTGTATGAGTACCTACACAGACAAATTTACTGAAGAAATTCCAGCAGATTATCCTACTTTTCTATTTTATCTGTCGAAAGTACTATTGTGAACACCATTTTTGGATAGAGGGACTTCAGATCTATAGTTCCAGATCCAATACGAATGTTTATCATCTCACAGTCTAATGTTGAACAAATGAATTCGGCTATTTGTTTGCCAAAATAATAGAAAATTGCGTTGATTTTTAACGCAGTTTTTCTGTTACACTTTACCAAAATGGCTTGTTGTTCCGATGAATATTTGACAAAAAATAAGAAAACTTAGTTAAAAATCAACACGATTCTCTATTATTTTTGCAAACAAATGACCAAATTCATTTGTTCAGCGTTAGACTGTTAGAAGATAACCATTCGCATTGCATCTTGAACTATAGATCTGAAATTTCTCTATCCAATACACATGTCAGAATGAAAATTTCATTGGAACTACATTACATTATTAGTATACATTTTTCGAAAAGATTCTTAAAAAAGACTGGTTAGGTAATAATTTCTCCTTGCATAATATTATATCAAAACATGTCCTAACTCAGCCTCTTTCGATTTGTGAAAGCTATTGCTTAATAATCTAGCATAAGAAGATTTTCAGTATACGTAAATCACAAAGGCTCATCTTTCTATCGCGCACCACTCTGTCACCATGATAATTATTGAGTATGTTTTGTATTTTCTCAGCTTTCTTGATCAAATTTAGTTCGAAATCGTTCTTAAAAATATCGGTTAAAATACTCTTTGGAGATGATCCCATGACTGCTCTATTGTGTTGTCGATTTGATATTTTCTCTCTTTTTCTGCTTCTTTCCATGACAAACATCATCAAGTTCATATAAACTATCAAGAATGGTGTCGACTGAATCGCTTAGAAGTACCTGAGTGAACAGACTGCATAGATACATGGCATGAAATAAAGTGTATCTCGAAATATATGTTGACTATGTAAGTGTGGTTCGAGCCAAGTAGACTTTACACAATCCACATGATCATGTTGATTCATATTGTGTTGCAGAAGAAAAACATTCTTTGTCGCCTTCTGAAAATTTTTCTCAGTTAATAATCAAATACATTACTAAGTTATTGTAAATTGATGACATTTTGTCGTTTGCTGCCACACCTGCAATTTTCTTTCTTCCTTATTTTGTATACTTACAAGAGTTATGTAAGTTCAAAAATAGATCAGTGTCTGTCCATTAAATTCGATTTGGTCGCATCGGACTCTTTTTTATATATTGGTTTGATTCGGCTGAAAAACTCAATTTTTACTCTTGAAACATAACTTGCACAATAACATCAAAGATATTCTATCCACTTTAAAAATTCACAACGTTTAATAAATCAAACATTATTTTGTGAAGTTTTATTAAGTATTCAGTCATAAAAAAAAAACTCGAATGACGATCACATCAGTATCTCCATGTTGCAGGCATCAGATTTTACATATGAAGACTTATACTATTAATATTTCACCATATTATAAATAATATAGAATGTGGATCCTCTTATAGCCAACACCCACACCCATCACCATTGTTTTCGTACGCCAGCAAAGTCATCGCAAAACCCGACGGATAGAAACTGACGACGTATATTGAGCCTATGACATGAAAGTTTGTTGCTATCCGTAGTCAACATCGCATTATACGTTGATAGTACGGTCTAGCGTTCCTGTGTAGTAAAACAAAACAAAATAAAACGTAGAATTTTTATTCATGATTAGAATTTAAAAAGAATCGATGGAGTAACACACGAAATACGTTTTGAGTACACTCCCAATAAATCTTGAATATAAAACATTGATAGAGTTTTACAAAGATTGCTATCACTGAAAGTTGCCTCGTTCCAAAATTTTATCGCTTAAATCGATGAACGTATGACATGTCCACAACTTCAATCAAGTGTGGTGATTCATGTGCACATTCGTCTCTTACTTTGTGTGATAATTGGCTAGTAAGGAGATCCGCGAGTCAGATTTATAAATGGCAGGCCACTTGCTATAACTGAGAATTTTCCCATAACATCTGGATAGAAAGTGGTGACAACCAGTACGTAAATAGTTGAAGGTTGAAGAAAAACTCTCAATTTAAACTGTTTATTATCAGCGTTGTTATCATCTTTCATAAGCAAATTTAACGACGTATTAGATTTATCAAAGTTATTTTCGTATATATATCCATATGTATCAAAGCTACTTTGGCTCGTTAAAGTAAAATACCCAGGCGTACTAACATTCACCAAGATAGTTTCATAGTAGTAGTCTTCGTCGAAGTCGTACTGATATTCTGGCATCAAACATCTATCACGACAATATACTTGATTGTACGCCGTCAATTCAGATGAATAGGTTGTTTGATACAACGATGGAATCACTATTGTCAATGAAAAATAAATATTCTCACAATGGTCAAATTTTAGCAGATGGATAAAAGTAGAGCCATCACACACACACACACATACTATGAGCTTTTACTATTAACTGAAAGAAATTTCTCTTCTTCGTCTCAAAAAGATATTTGACTTTTTCCATGGGCAAGAATGTTATTTCCGTTAGGTTGTAAGAATGAGCTGTATAGATTTCATTTTTTTTTCAGTTATGAAAATTTTCGGAACTGCGTAGAAACAACGTCTGGGTGACTGTAGTTGCTGCATGTCTAGAACAGGATGTTTTATTGCACGAAGAATTCATGTGAAAAATTTTTAACTATAATGATACGACCATACGGTTTTTGTCGATTACAAATTACATCCAACTACATTGCAGTTCGAATGTCACAGCAAACATCGCAAAATATTTTTCTCATTTCTAAAGCTTATATTGACTGTAGGTGACTAAAATAAATCCTATATTTTTAAGAACGTGAACATAAGCTGAGTCGTTTTTAGAAACCTTAAGGAACGTAAGATGCCAAATATTTTAGACAATATACATTACTTACAAATTTCACGAAGACCCACAGTTGTAGGGCCATCTGCAACAATCGAGAATGTGCCAGTCATATTCGGATGCAAAGTTGTAACAACCAAAATGTGCATCGTCCATGGTTGCAGAAAGACTATGAACTTGAATTGTCTATTTTCGCCACAATTATCATCTTGTGACAGTAAATTTAATGAAGGATCATACGGATGAAAACTGTTGTTGTAAATATAAGAACAAGCGCTAATGTTACTTTCAATTGAGAAACTATAATTTGATGCTATAACAACGTTGACTTCGAACGCTTGATAATAATAGACAGAAACTGAACTGTTGATGCGACCATATGTTGAGCTGTTATTAATCCACATCGACGCATACTTTGATTGCACAGATGTTGGGATCACTATTCAATGAAACAGAAAATGCAATCATTATTATGTCAAAAACGTTCTTATTTGAAAAAGTAATTTAAAAAAAATTCAAAAATTTCCATCCATCGTCATGTGTTGCGAGATAAAAGAAATATATTTATGTATATTGAAAATACGCACTCTGTAGAAAAATAAAATTCATTTAGATTTATTTCCTATTGAAATTTTATCAATCCTCGAATGTTCCAGAACTACAAATTATATTCTCGAAGTATATATTCTATTAATCGAAATAAATATAATTAACTTTTAATTGTCTATATGTAAAATAACAATTTAAAAAACATCTCTTGCATTTAAAGTAAACTTCAAAATACAATTAAATCATATTAACAATGGAAGTTATTCATTTTTAATGCATAGACTATTCCTTTTACTATAGAATTTTAAAAAAATTATTTCAATCTCAATTTAATTTTAAACATAACTACTACAATTAACAAAACTAATCTAGAATTTATAGTCGGCAGATATTATCTGTCTATCGATAGATACCAAAACAGAGAGAAAGAGTGTGTGTGGCTAGGCTGTTAAAGATTATGGCAAACATATAGATGGCTACAGCTTGATTGCGGACAAAATTTCAGCCCTCACCCACACTGTCGGTCTTCTAATTGTTTTGATTTTTGTCCGCAATTAAGAAGATACGCATATAGATATCTCTTTCAGTAAGTTGAAAGAACATTCGTATACTGATACAGGGGTCATAAGAAGATGGAAGATGAGTTCAATTTTCTGATCATATGACACAATATTCATTTTTAGTCATGTTTTACAACCGCTCTGTAATCATAAAACAAGTATATTACGTAATTACGGTAGTGATTCATAGATAGATATGACTAATAAACAGATATTTTTTTTTTTACTTTTATAGGAAGAGAAAAGCGATTTATGCTGATCTGTTACCAGTTCAGAGTTGGCTGACAACTGCTATCCGCCTCACGGAGAGGCTACACACAGTAAAATATTTAAATACTTACTAGAATAACGAAGAAATATCTGGCTAGAAATAAATCCAGCTAGAAAGATAATACATGCTGTTAACAATACCAGCAAGATACAGCATAGCCGTGGACAACATTGTTTGTTTCGAGATAGAATATGCTCATTAGAAATTGTCTGATCGAAGTTATCAAGATCATTATTGTCCGATTCCTGAGAGGAAGTTGCAGAATGCTTGAGTTGCCTAACTGGATCATTCGATTGATTGTCATCTGATAATAGTTTAAGATATAATGGTTGTCGCGAACATGCAATCTTTCCTTGATTCACTATCCACGATGTAACGGTTTTTCGCTTTTCAAAATGATCATCTGTGGTTACTCCCAGATGTTCCGATCGTTCTGAAAATTCTGATTCTTTAGGCTCAAACTCGACAAGAGGAATCTCTTCCATTGTGTTTTTATTTATCTAGAATAACTTTAGTGTAGATACGATAGTAGTATATGTGCAAAAAAATAAGTTATAAAAAGCGATCGAAACCATTGTTTTTTACTCGGCAATATTCAACGATGATTTGGCTAGTAGACTAAATCTGTATTGTCGATTGTATTAAATTAAAATATTTTTATTATTCATCATATAATTCTTCATACATTCAAGTACTTCATTTATAATTTTTAAAGTATTGTAATATATATGCTTTCGAGATGATAAGGATGAAAAAAGTAGCATGTATGTTCTATCAAAAAAAAAAAACAATACTTGGGTGTTTGATGATAATATATGGCTTTAATCTTCTATTCTTTATGTATCAAAATGAAAGAAATCAGATTATCAACAGCTGATAGTATAAAGTAAAGATTAAAAATAAAAATTCTACACGAAAAAATATTTAAGATAATTTTGAAGAGTTCTTTGTTTCAATATATGAATAATAGTAAGGAAGATAAATATCAGGTTATATTATCATATGAAATCTTATCGTCAAAAAAGTACAGGTGTTCGGTTATTTATATCCGCCGAGTCATCATTATATAACAGAATGTTAGGAAAAAAAATGTCGCCAAATTATTTCACTTCCTAGTTAAGAATCAAATTTATAGCAGTTGCCAGTACATTTTTATTCACTTACATTCACTGTAATGAAATCCATTTTGCTTGTGTATGTTTTATTGCTTCTTGGTAGTAACTATTTTATACAAAACGTAGAATCACACAGTCCGTGAGTTCAATATCTTTCTTACATTTATCTAATTATCAATAAAATAAATCCTATATGTTTAGATCATTTTCGATCAAAGTCTATCATCAACGAATAAATACAACTAGTCAAGTAATTGCTGAAAATTTGACTAATTATAAAAACGTGAGTCAATTTTACTAAGAAATATACTACCTAAGTAAATTTATTCGATTTTATACAGATTTATTGGATTGGAGATGTATGCATTGGTACACCACCTCAATGTTTCAAAATGCTTTTTGATACAGGCAGTTCAGATCTCTGGGTACCATCTACGAATTGTTACGCAAAAGATTGTGCTTGTATGTCATTTTCTATTATACATATATGAACAAGTAATTATTTTTATCTTTCTCTGAGAAACAGATTTTGCTGGTAAATTCGATGCATCAAAATCATCGACCTTTAAACATCTTCCAAATCGCGAGATTTTTTCGATATCATACATGGATGGAACTGGCGTATCGGGTTTCATGGGCGTCGATAGTGTTTCAGTACGTAAGAATATACTTTTTTTTTTCATTTCTTCCAAATGTGCTAATTCAAATTATATGAATGCTTCACATCAAAGGAAATCTCCTTTGTTCTTAGTATCGTTCTTCAATATTTTATTTGTCTGCATAGATAAATGGCTTTACTGTTCATCATCAACAATTTGCTCAGATCAATTTTACAGAAATGTCGAATAATCTGACAACCGACGGCATCTTTGGTTAGTATTCAATCTTTGCTATTCAAATGTGTAATCATTTAAAAAAAATCATTTTCTCATTAGGTTTAGGTTTTTATTCGTTCTCTAATGGACATATGACACCAGTTGTTTTCAATCTTTGGCATCAAAGACTTATTGACCAACCAATCGTTTCATTTTGGCTTGATCCGTATGGTTTGCAATTTTATGACCATAATTACAGATAAAAAAGGGTTTCATTTAGAAATCCAGAACATTCGAGAGGCGGAGAAATTTTTTTCGGTGGTGTCGACTCTCAACTCTTTGAAGATGAAATTATTTATGCTAATGTAATCCAACAGCAACAACAATCATGGAAAATCCAGTTGAATGAGTAAGCAAATTCTTATCAAGTTGAACTATATCTAGAAAGATTCTATTTCATTTTGTCTAGCATTAAAGCAGGTGATTTAAGTTTGTGTAATGACGGCTGTACAGCACTTATCGACTCTGGAACAACGAGTATTATCGCGCCATATTCTGATGTGAAACCTTTTCTATGGTCGATTCCAAGCTATAATCCAATAGTAATAATCATTATAAAAGCAAATTGTTTGATCAACGTGTATGCTTATCTCTATTGCAGGACGGTACGATCAATTGTTCTTATCGATCATCTATGCCTAATCTTACCTTCATCGTCGGGGACAAACCACTGTTATTGACTCCTGCTCAATATGCTTATTCTCGAATTGATTCATCAAATGATAACAGTGAAATATGTCATCTTCATATTTATGGTTACTTTAAAGGCATCGCAAACGATGATCCTCAGTGGATTTTGGGCGGTGTATTTATGAGTCATTACTACACAACTTTCGACTTTGGCAAAAGACGTATTGGCTTTGCTAAATCAGTCGTTTATCTTAAGTAATAGTTAGTGGTTGGGCAACTCTTGTTTTCATTAATAGTCAGCAAAATATACAAGAAGTTAGCGGAAATGTTGCAAAATCTAGAAAAAATAAAATAATCCAGAAAAATTTTTGAGGATATACCTCTTTGTTTATAAATGTTTTCTTGACCGTGTTATTAAACTTGTATTCAATATTGTACGATTACAATTTTTATTTTCCGATATTATTGACCAGATACAAAATTATCTGAATGTATTATCGGAAAAATTAAAAAATAAAATAAAATAATTGTATTATATTGCTACTTTTTGTATTTTAGATATTATTTTTATAAGCAATCAGTTCTGAAGATCAATTTTTTTTGGAAATAATAATATTGTTATTTTAGTAATTACTCAATTATTCAGTGCTTTTCTCTTTAGAAAAGAAAGTTTCAGTACCATATACTGTAATGAGTACTTGATCAAATAAAGCACAATTTAACAGCAACGAAAAATATATAGAACAAACTTAAAAAGTTGATTTAAATTCATTTACTTTTATTATGATATTGAATCATATTAATTGAAATGAATTTATAACAATCTGAATTGTAAATGTCAAAGGCCATTCATATCTCTATCTTGTTCTTGAGCAATAAAATTTTTAGTATTACGATTCAGCCGTAATGGATTGGTATAATAAATAGTTATCAAATAAATTGATCCTTACATGAACAAACAGAGAAATGCTAACTTGATTTCATATAAAACTCATGAACAGTAATTCCGAGTGTTGAGAAAAAAAAACATCCTTCAATAAAGCAGGATATAAAGAAAGCACCGGAGAAAAAAAATTCTGGAGCACATCAACTTGATCAGTTATTGAAACTTCTCTCTCTCTGATTTCTTTGTTCGAAGCATTCTTGTGAAAATTTGTGTTAAACCTTTTGATCCTCTTATCAACTACCGAGTGAGTAGAACATTCAAACGAATTTCATCAGTAACCAAAGAAAAGTTTCTTCAATGCTGTCGTTGCTGTATTATATAAAATAAAGATATAGACACATTTTTGTGTATGATTTTATCAAATGAAAGAGACAGAATTTCGGTTTTACTTCTCGTCATCATCATCTGTTTTCTTGGTTTTATTTTCGATGAAGAAATCTGCTCTATGTGTGCCTGTTGGGTGCTTCTTGATATGTTTCTGTCGGTTTCATTTGTCTGATAAAACTATTCAACAGTAGTAACCTTTCAATAAATTCAAATTGGCAAGGTGATTATTTAGTATTTTGTGTGATTCGATACATCTTCGAGTTTTTAAAATATAGTCTTCACAAATTGAACACACAATTTTCTTCCTTGATAAGATTGATTACATGTGACCTCATGGAAGTTGGCCTACTTATCTTAAATTATTTTACGTGGAGGAAGAAAATAAAATTTAGATATGCTAAATAATCAGTGCCTGGCATCGACATCCAGTTTGCATATAATAAAAAAATGTTTTATTTTTCTATTGACAGAACTTCAGTTCTCTTATATGAAAAATAATACAAAATATAATTAAGTCAATCCATTGAAAATTAGTTAACAAACAGGTTCCTCATTATGAAAAAAAGTAGTGCAAGCTTTGTTCTTTTTTTTATGTTTGGGAATCGGTGAAAGTGAATGTCAGTCTTCTCTGTATCAGCAACATATCAACCTCAGACTAAAAGTAACTGTTTACATTCAGCATGTTTGAATATTATGGTTAACATTTCAATGGTTTTTTTGTCAGTATATTATCAATAATAGAAGAATTCCTCTCATTTGTCTTTAGTGTATGTATTACTGCCGTTAGAATCGCATGCATAAGTCTGCATAATATTTATTATTTGTTTTCTTAAAGTATTAGACTATGTAGGTGTGGATATGCCTGTCGATAAGAATTTTTGTTTTTTACTCTCATTCTCGTGCAACCACTTCCATAATCAATGCAAAATACTTGGTTAAAAAGGTTATTTTGATTCGAGCAAATTAAAAAAGGTTAATCTTGCACCTATTATTGGATCTTATGTTTGAATTGCGATTGATACTTTGGATTTTCTCCTTTCATTGAGTTTGTGCAATTGCAGTATATTTCGGTCCGATCGACAATCTTTTTTCTTTCGAGCAAGTTATTGAAAAAAATGTTTCTTTATGATTTTGATGACTTTTTTATCTTTGCATTTCAAAGTCTCATTATATTTACTCTCCTGGGTAGACATCTAATTCGAATATGTATGGGTATGAGTCAGAGTTTCTTCTCATCAATAAGCACATTCACACATATCCATACTCGCACACTCTCAATCCTCGATTTCATTCTTTGCCTTCTCATTATTTTGTCGTTTACGACGGTATCGATTTTCAATCGTTACACTCTGATGATTTTGTCACAATTGGTCGAGAATATCTTCCAACTGTGATCCATAAAATACTCTCATTGTATTTATCAGAGTAGACGATTACGTCAGTGGACATGATGAATATTAAAAAAAAAGTCGATAAATTACTCAATATATTTCGGACTTCATTTTGGTATAACGAGCGTGAGTAGTTTGTTCGATGTGATTGGAATCCAACGGAGTCAATTGTTTTTTGTGTTCTTTTCCATATATTATTGATTTCTTTTGTATGTTCAATCCGACAATCAGGAAATTAACTTGTCTTCAAGAGCAGAATCAACAGTCATATGATGCTGTACGTCATTTAATATACTCGTGCATCGTGGCTCTTGTGTTTAGACTTTTCGAAGAATTTAAAAAAAGCCGGTTCTAAGGAAGTCTATCATTAGCAACCAAGAATACAATGATAAAAAGCCTATTTTTTACAAAGATCATATGGATCATACAATGAGACTCCGTCATTCACCTGTTGCTGTATAATGTGAAGAACTTCACGTATGTGTGAAAAAATCGAATATCGATATATTATCCCGTAAAATCAATGCGAAATTTGAAATTATTGGATGTGATGTGGGACGATGACAAATAAGAAATGCGCTATTTAACAGAAGATAAACTAGTGACTTTATTAAAAATAACTTTACTTGACAATATAGATAAAGGTCTAATATACTTATTGTTTTTTTACATATAGGCGGTCGTTTATCACGATTTTGACTTCATAGTTATATTTTCTAACCATTATAATGGCAACAAACGATAATTTTTCTAACTAAATTATTGAGAGCGTGAGACAAAATTAAGTAAAAAAACAAAAAAAATGTTGGGAAAAATAAGAGAATTTTTAGTTCAATCTTAGCTAGAATTAGACTTGCGACAAGTCTCGGTATTATAAACGGACTCTTTTTTTGAGAATTGGACCGAGTGAGTAGTTCGTTTTTTGAGAATCGAGCTCTTTCTAATCGGGCATTAAGTTTTCGTTAGCTTCATTTCAGCACATTTGTGCATTTCAAAAACATGGTCCATAATGGAGCAATAACAGATCTAATGTATGGATTAAAATAAGATGCCTAACGGCACCAGTGTGGAGTCCGAATGTTCTTATCAGTCATACCCACATCCCTGATCAGTCAAACTACATAGAAAACTAAAAGTTTAAATCCAATGAAAAATATGAACATTTAGAAAAACGCGATTTTTTTAATCTGTGATGTTTTATCTTTGATTAGGCAAAAAAGTGTGTTCATGTAATTGAGTTTACAGGATAAAGTCGTATTGATCATCTGATTTATAGTTCATGATAAGTCTCAAATAAAGTTTCACGATAACTACTTACTGGTTCCTAATATAAGTTTTATCTCAAACTATTTTCTAATTTTTGATAAAAACAAACCCGTTAGACAATATCGATAAATTGAACATTATATTCTTAAAATTTTATTAATATTTTTACAAGAAAAGACACTATTCAATATTATAACATTTGAAACAATAAAGAGAATACTCAAACCTCACCTATGTGTTCGATCACAATCAAACTGCAACAAAGCTATGCGTAACTGCGTCACAATTCGATCGTAGTCAAACACATATGGAAGCCTTTCGAATTCAGCATTTTCTAACATAAAAACTCAAATGTAAAAAGCTCTAAGAATGCTTTCTAATAAAATTGAAATAGTCGATGAACATGACTTTTTCATTTGTTTTTTAAAAGCAATCTGATTAAGAGTCGCCATTTATCTTAACTTTAGGATAGTTTCACTCGATTTCTACTACGTCACATAAAAATAACTTTTATGAATCTGAATATTGTGGTGTTTGTAGAGATTGTGTTGGCGATCCTGTTGATGTAATTTATGTAAGGAAGAGCATTATTTGAAACTCTTAAAAGTGACCAATGTTGTCTTTCATTAAAAGCCTAACTTTTTGAGCGTGTAAGTGTGGGTATAAGTGAAAAGAAGACCCACAAAACCACACCCTCTTGAAGAGCAAGTGTCCGGGGAACAATAGTATTGTGTGCAACAGACTAATTATCAGAAAAAATGAGTTTTCTCAACAATAACAAAGAACTTTTTTCTCTGCTCAATAATGAATACAAAATAAATAAAATTATCGAATGTATAACAAATCCAGAAATATCTGACATTATGTATATGACGCATCTACTAGTGGATTTTCAAGGAGAACGATCACCTTAGGTCAGACAAGTTGCTGAATATGATGACATATGTGAGTAATCGCAGATTAATGTGTCTATATACAATTTCATACTTTGAATCTGATAATGAACATTTTAAGTCTATTAGAACAAACAAAAAAGTTTAACAAGTTAGTTTTATTGAAAAATATATAGATTTTCTTCAAAAGAAAAACGCTCAATTTTTTGTAAATTTTGTAATGTTTTGAAATTTTTAATTAAAAAAAAAATGTTTTAGAAAAAGCTTAAATATATAGTTTTGTAGAGTTCGATGAGTCCTATCAAACTATGTGAAAATATCAAAGAAAAAAAAAAGTTTACTTCATTCTTGAATTACACACATGTTACATCTCTATTATTATATTAATGCATTTTCATATGAAAAAAATTAAAACAAATTTAAAGTTTGCTATTGCAACACTAAGGAAAAAAAATTCGTAAATAATATTTTACCGTGGAGTAAATGTGAAGTTGATAAGCATATGCTGACAGCCATACTGGCTGCCTCAACATCGTGATTAAATTTACTTGGCGTCATGCAAAAGAGAACAATGCAGCAGATTGTATCGCCAACATTTTCCGTTCTTGTCTTTAATTTTTTTTTAAAGAAAAAAGAATTCTTTCTTATAATAGTATATTATGATGGCAACATCATTTCTTTATGCCAATTCTGTCAACACGTTTTTTTCTTCTTTTGCTTTTAATTTATTTTGAATTTTTGTTTTTTGTATTCCAATAATTCAAAGAAAGAATTGTACATTAATTAATTAAGAACAATTCAAGAATGGACGAGGAAATGGCTCAAAAGTTGCAAAATGTTCAAAGGGTAATTTATAGATAAGGCTATGAACATATTATATGACTTTTTTGTTTCAAATATTTTTTAGGCGATTGAAACTTTAAAAATTTGTCAAAATGATCCGTGAGTTAAAAAAAAATATTTTCATTAATAAAAACAAATATTCATGTTTTTTCTTTTTGACATTCATTAGACCAGATGAAATAACTAAACATTATGGTTTTATGAAATTTGATGAAAATAAACTTGATTTTACTACACGTCTTTCACAATATATACGATTAAGTCTTAATACAAATGCTGAAACAATTGTTAAATTTATGCAACAAGGTTGGAATTTACCAAAACCTGACTTAATTATATCTGTAACTGGTGGAGCAAAAAATTGTGATATGTCAGCACGTCTTAGAAAAATTTTCCAAAGTGGTTTAGTTGCTGTTGCTATAACTACAAGTAATATATATTTATTTCAAAAGAAATAATTCATATTTGATTTTAATTGAATAGATGCATGGTTGATTACAGCTGGAACAAATGCTGGTGTTGTTAAAGAAGTTGGTGAAGCTCTTAATAAATATCGATATAAAAATCGAAAAAATGGAGTTGACATACCATGTATTGGTATTGCTAGTTGGGGTTATACAGCAGGAAATGAGCAACTTGATTATCGACCTATGACTTTTTCTACAAATATAAATGCTACAAAAACAAAACAAGCATTTATGAAACATCATCAAAATCAAATAGCACATTCTGTTCATATGGTTAGTAGAATAATTTGTTTGAAAAAAGAAATATTTTTATTTTTATTTTTTTAATTAAATTTAGGATATAGATGATCAATATTTTGTTCGAAATTATATTGTTAAAGAAAAACAAAAGAAACGATGTGATTTAGAACCAAATCATACTCATTTTTTGTTATTGGATGATGGACAGCCAAATGCTGATACTGTCCTTCCATTACGAGCAGAAATTGAAAAATATTTTCGAAATATCAATATAGAAACTACTACAGAAACAGCAGTTGAATCATTTATACCTATTGTTATGGTTTTAGTTGAAGGTGGACCATCATCAATTCGAACAATATGTCAAGCACTTGATTCGAATACACCAGTTGTAGTTATCAAAGTAAAGAAAAACTTCAAGAATTTGAAGAAAATTTTTATTGATTTTTTTAAAGGAATCAGGTCGTGCTGCTGATCTTGTTGCTGAATTACATGCTTGCTATACTGATAACGAGAGTGGCAATGCTACACGACCACAAACTGGTTTAGCTAAAAGTAGTTCAAAAGAGACGGAGATAAACGCGATGTAAGTTGTATTATTATAAGAAATTTTTATATAATAATTGTCTCTATTAATTAATAAAGTTTTGCTAAAGCACGAACTGATATCACAGGACTTGACGAAGTTAAAAATGATTTATGTAGAATATTAAATGAACGTAAACAACTAGTAACAATTTTTAAGTTTGATAGTAAACGACATCATGGAAATCTTGAAGATGCTATTCTAGAATCTTTATTTAATGGTAAATATTCCTTATTAATAAATTCTTTTACAAAAATAAAAAAAAATAACAATAAATTGTGTTGTTTTATAGCTGCAAAATTTTCCGATGATTCTAATGAACAAAATCGTCGAAAAGTTGAACTTAAATTAGCTATAGTAATATAAAAAGACAATCAATAACAAAAAAACAAAACGATATTTTGTTTTATATTCATGTAGGCTTGGCATAAATTTAATTATGCTCAAAAATATCTTCTTACTGATACGACGATATCTAAATGGAAAGTATGTAGTTTGTTTTTATTGTTTAGTTTTATTTGTTTTTTTTTCTTGAAATAAATAAAAAGGAAGATGATCTTCGTCGTGCTCTTGTCGATGCACTTCATCGTGGGCATGTTGATTTTGTTGAATTACTTATTGAATTTGGTACATCACTTGAAAAATTGACAAATGGAGATCTTAAACAACTTTATGCAATAACATTGGTATATTAAGTTTAAAAAAATTAAAGAATTATTAATTTTACAAAGATTTTGTTTTTTTTAGACTGGTTATCGATTACCAGTTAAAGGCAAAGGAAAAAATCATATATGCAAAAAAGATGACTTTTATTCAGATTATTTTCATTTAATTTTAGTATGAAAGAGATTGATCTATTGATTATTTTCTAAGAAATATATCTTTGTAGAATAATGCAAACACAAACAATAAATTGTCACCTCTAGATGATAATATATCATTAGGCAAAGGTGCTCCGCAAGATTTATTTTTATGGGCTGTTTTCCTTGATCGATTTGAACTTGCAACATATCTTTGTTCTAAAACTTGGGTAAGTTTTTAATTATTAAGTAAATCTAATTTAAGAACCCTATTCTACAAACACTAAGAAAGATTGACCATATTCATGTCAAATGATCATTTTCAATATCAAACTAATGAATTCACAATATGAGCTCCTCATGATGAAGTTTGAACAAGATATTCGATTTTTTAGGGTATTGACAGCTTTCATATAATCATGTTTTCATACCAAAATTAGAAATATCTCAAAAATTGAATACGTTGTTCCAAGCTCGCCATTAGCAGTTTATATTTTAAATTGGTTAGTTAGGCTGTGAGAGTGTTCATCTGATTTGAATATGGTCAATTTTATTGATTGTCAGTAAAATACGTCATATTATATGATAATATTTTCTTACTAGAATCCATCGATAGCACCATTATTTGGTGCACAAATCTATCGACGAGCAGCAATATTAGAACTTGATTTAGATATAAAACAACAATATGAAGACCATGCAGAGTAATTTAAAAATTTTGTTTAATTGATAATAATAATTTGTTTTTCTCTAGTCAATTTGATACTCATGCTATGTCAATTATTGATCGATGTTTTGATCATGATGAACATTTTGCTGTTGATCTTCTAAAACGTCCTGCTGTTGCATTTAATAATGTTTATCCATTACAATTAGCTCGAAAAGCTACGTGTAAATCATTTCTTGCATCAAAATGTGTTCAAAAATATCTTGATCATCAATGGTGAGATTTTAATTTTTTGTATATTTCATAAAGAAATAAAAAATTTAATTTTTGTAGGTTTGGATGTATCAATTATAAAAGAAAAGCTATTAGTTTTCGAGTAAGTAATTAAATATAAAATAAAATATGAAAAATATATTTTATTATTAGGTTTTTCTTTGTTCATTATTTTTTCCTTTACTTCCAATATTTTCTATTTTTCTACCTTATATAAAAAAACATAAAAACGTTAGTATAAAAGTTAAAAAAGAAAAATTTATGAATACATTGAATAATTTTTTTTAAGAATATTCGAAGTACTCCAGATCAATTAAAAGTCAATCAATCAACTATGATGCATAATGTTATTGAGTAAGAAAATGATAATCATCTTATTTTAAATTTTATTCATATTTTTTATCAGACCTGTTCAACATAAAAAAAAGAAACGTGTTCAATGGTCCGATAAAATAGCCTATTTCTATCAAGCACCTATTGTACGATTTTATTATTATATGGTAAAAATTAATTATATTATTTTAATATGTTTTTGTTAATTTTTTTGTTTTTAAATCAGATATTTTTTATTATATTTCTGGGTTTATTCAGTTATGTTCTACTTGTTGATTATTTTCCATTAAATATCTATAATGAACGTCGATCTAATGTTCAAAATTTACGTATACCTATAACTGAAACAATTCTTCATATTTGTATTTGGAGTTTAATTAGTGAAGAAATTCGTCAAGTAATATTTTAAGTTCTATTTTATAATTAATGATGTTAAATTATATTACTTTTAGTTTTTATTTGTGAATTCTAAAAGAGAATATATATCAGGAATGTGGAATATCATTGATATTTTTGCAACTATTTTATATCTTATTGGTTTTATTACACGATTTATTGTTCTTGAACCACTTTTTGTTGTATCTAAGTAAGTTTATTGATAAGATTTTTTTTTCGTTTGAATAAAGATATTTATTTATTTTGAAATTCTTCTTGTTTTCTTATTAGAATATTTTTATGTCTTGATTTGATACTTTGGTTTGTTCGTACATTAGAACTATTTGCTGCTTTTGAAAAATTAGGACCAAAATTAATTATGATTTTTGATACGGTTAGTGATTGATCATTTAATTAATCTTTTGATTATTTTTTCTTTTTATTAATAGATGAAAGATTTTCTTTTTTTTGTTTGTTTTCTTCTTATATTTTTATTTGGATATTCAATATCATCATGGTCATTAATGACTACAGACAATCAAGTTTCTTGGAATTATAATAGTGATGGATCATTATTTAATGCGACAGTATCAGGTGCTGGAAGTGGTTTATGGACATGGCAATTATTACGTGATGTTATAAATTTTGGTGTTTGGAAAATTTTTGGACAAGTAGATTCAATTGGTAAATATACATACAATGAAAATTTTAATTAAAATAAAAATTCTTTTCATTTGTTTTAGATGGCACAGATGCATATTCTGTTGTAACTTTTATATTGACTATACTATTTGTCGCTGTTGCTAATGTACTTCTTCTTAGTGTACTTATTGCTTTATTTAAGTATGAAGAAAAATTCGTTTTTTAATAAATGTAAATTTTGTTTTTCTTTTTATTTATAGTATTACAATTCAAAATGTTCAAATGCAATCTCATCGAATATGGCGTTATCAACGTTTTCTACTTGTTTCTGAATATAATAATAAACCGCCATTACCACCACCATTTAATACTATATATTATCTATATAGTATTATTTGTTATATAATCAAAAAAATCAAACATTATAATCAAAAACATCGCGACGGTATTTTATGAAATATGATCTAAAAGGAGTATCGAAATATATAGGGTAAAATTTTGGAACTCCTCCCATATAGACCGTGACAAACATTTTGTCTAAATAGTTAATTGATATCAAGATAACAGCTCATTATTAACTAATTAATAAATTAACAACTAATTATTGCCTTAACTAATATCTAATTAATGATATTTTAATAGTTAATTAATAAGTAATTAATAGCCCTCCTTCTGTCAAAAATCTATTCTATTTTCAGAATAACCGCTTGCTAAAATTTTTCAGGAAATGTGTAAGTGGGCTTAGAAAGCTCATAGTATAAGTTTCAGTCCCAAACATTGAGTTCTCCAAGAGTTATCGTTACATTTAGATCGAAAAGTAGATCTCCATGCGTCTCAGATTTCTTCTCCAATTCTAATGATGCAGATCTCGATTAGACATCAGAATGTAGTCAACAATTGTCGCTACAGCTTAACAGAGCTCGAATTTAAAAGTTTTCTCAAAAAACAAATCAAAAATAAAAAAACATCGACTCTATTGAGTTATAGAACACAATTTTCTGTTCAACTTAAGACCTTTCCTAAATTTTTAGCATGTAAAATGGCTGAGAAATCCTGGACGCACAAGAAATAGATAATAATAAAAAAAACTCGTTTTGAGGAGAACGCCGAATAAAGTTTAATTTCAGAAGTCCAGATTCTTTTTTTCTGTAGAAGTATTATGGACAAAGTCATAGATCTCCAAAAAACTAAAATTTACGCAGCGTTTTTCTACTGGTGAAGTTTTCATGAAATCTCTTCAAAGTCGCAAAAAAGAACCATCATAAAATGCAAGAATAATAGTGATCCTGAAAGAAAAAAGAATGCGGGCTATTTGACCATTTACAAAGTTCAAAAATGGATACTTTTGACAAAAGTAGGGAAGTGGGTCGGGAATGAAATAGATGTTCAAAGATATAGCTAAAAGAGTGAACCAACCCGTTCTGTCTATGATCCGAAACAGATCCGGTAGGTAGCATCACATCACAGACCGTGACAGACATCTTGATACCTCACCCCTGCTACATTTTGTTTCACATTTTAATCCCGTAGAGATTGCGTTAATTTTTTTTTAAACAATTTGTTCATCAACAATGGTTTTTATTTTTTTGACTTCATAGTTACCTGTGAAATTTCAATGGATACAATTGATTTAAATGAAAATAAAATTCGAGAAGATTTTAAAAGTAAGATTGTTTTATATGATTTAAATAGACAAAATGTTTACTGTTTTTGTTTTTTGGTTAATGATAGTTAGTGATACAATGCAACGTGAAAGTGCGATAGCTGATGACTATTGGAATTATATATTCAAACATGGAAAGAAAGATCAAGTTGAAGTTGCAATACAAAATATAGAACGAAAGTAAGATTCATATGTCATTTTTGTTTAGTTTATAAAAAATTCAATTTTTTTTTCTTTGTTTTTATTAAAGACTTCATGATTTACAAGAACAAATACATAGTACTAATAACCAAGTATCAGTAAATTTTTTCTTATATATTCTTCTAATTAGTTATTTTATTTGATAGAATTATGATCAACAATGGTTTTCATCTGATCCTTAGTATTGAAGAGAATAATTTATTGCTTTTTCTTTGTAAACAATTTTTTTTGTACGAATTGTTGAAATATATGATTGCAAATATAATCGGTGCACCAAAATAAATGAGCCACTAGGTATTTTTCGTATATTTTTCTCAGATAATGACATATGTAGGGTGAATCCATGGGAAACCAACCACTATTTTGGAAAAAGTTTTTTTTCTCAAGTTTTTTCTTCTAGTTAGATTGATCATCGATAGAAAATAGATTTGGCCG